GGAGAGAGATCCAAGGATTGCATATTTACTGCACTACTATCACAATTCAAAGTTTAAAGGCCATTCAAAGGTTTTCAATTAGTCAATAATTACAAGACATAACACCTAAATAAAAATAAATTATAAATTGTTTACTCTTAAAGTATATGTATGTATTTTTAAGAGAAATACATTTCTAAGTGAACTTTCTAATTTTTCTATATTAACTAGCCTACAGATTCCATGAAAACTCAAACTTCGTAGTCAAAATTGTAATTGAACTAATGTTTATTTAAAATTTAATCAAGTTTGTATAATCCTACATAATTATAAAGATGCCTACAACACACCATAAAACTCAAATATTCTAATGTCAAGTAAACTGATATCAATTGAAGCATCAAGCTGAGATTGAAACTTGCTATTTTTTTCCTACTTGAAATAGAGGCAGAAAACAACAGTCACAACAGATACATTTCTAAAGCTGAAATTTGTTAACTGTAGTTTAATTAGCATTATGACAAACACACAATATTTCAGAAGTTCCATAAACAAGATGCCATGGTTTTTAGAGCTAAATGTTGAGAACTTCCTACTTTAAGATATAAAAATATTACTATCCTGTAGACAAAATTCTTGAATTGAAAAAATGACGTACTAATGTTAAAAGGAAAAAAAAAAAAACTTGTATGTAGCTCCAAGCTTTTAGTCACTACAATAATTTGAAAATACAAGCATTATTGTTTTTAGTTCCCATGGAATCAATTCCGACTCATGACAACCCCATGCAACAGAGCTGCAATTTTTCTTGCACAAAGAAAAACTACTTTTTATTTCTTCCTACTAGAGGCAAAGAGTTCTAAAGGGTGCTTCTCAAAACTTAATGTGCACATGAATCACCTTTAGATTGTGTTAAAATGCAGATTGTGACTCAGGAGGTCTGGGTTGGGGCCCAGAGTGTCTGCATTTCTAGCAAGTTCCCTGGTGGTGCCAAATTCATCCATAGAGTGCACTGTGAGTAGCAAGGTCCTAAAGAAAAAGTATAACTTAAAATATTTAAATGTCCATGGTTTGTAAAGCACCAGTCTTGATAAAAGTTTCCAACTAAATTCCTAACTGATCAATCTAACACTTTTCTATCAATTTTTGGTCCCTCATATGGATGTTATAGTTAATCACTTCATTTTCTTAAAACCCAGAAAATCTGTTTCCTGATCTCCTTCCTGCCTCTTGTTCTTCTTGGTCTCTTCCTATGTTCCTCATACTTACATGCAGGTGTGTATCACAGGATTTCATTCTTAGCTTTATCTCTTTTCCATTCTATATGCTGTGCTGGATCACCTACAAGCTAATGGATTCAACCTAGACATGTCTCCTGATCTTAGATCTATATATTCAACTACCTAATGTCTATTTCTGGGAGCTCTGGTAGCATAGTGGCTAAGACACTTGCCTGCTAACCAGACGACTGGCGGTTCAAACCTACCAGCCACTCCTCGGAAGGAAGGTTGGGCAATCCAACTTCCGTAGTGATACTGCCTCGGAAACCCAAGGAGGGGTCGCTATGAGTCAGGTATGACTCGACGGCACATAACAACAACAACAACAATGTCTATTTCTAGTAAGTCTCCACAAGTACTATCCACTCAAAATATTTCAAACTGAACTCCTTATCAACAATCTACCATTATAGATCAGCTTTTACAACTCTGTATTGACTTTGTGATCAGCACCACCATTTGTCCAAACCACATTTTAAACTCTACCTCTCTCTCCCTCACCAAGTCCACTTGATTCCATCTTCTAATTATTTCTCAAATCCCATTCTCTTCTCTTGATTGGGACCATTTCTGATCTGGTTACTATAGTAACCTAACCAGTCTTCTTGCTTCCAATCTCATTTCCTCCTTCAAATCTTTCCTCACCATTACTAAGTAATCATTGCAATAACATCCCCCTCATTCAAATTCACCAATAACTTCCTATTACCTTTAGGAAAAAGTCCTAACTTTTTAGGACATCATATAAAGTTGTTCCCAATCTTGATATTGCCTCTCTCTCTCTCTCTCTCTCCAGTCTCAACTCGTATCACCCTTAACAGCATGTATTCTTGTCATGTCAAGCTATTTGCAGCTCCCTGAATGTACGACTTTCTCCAGTGCCTCTGTGCCTTTGCATGTATTGTTATATCCCTGGCTTAAAATTGTCCTTTCACTGCTTCTTTTCCTAACTATTCATCGTATTCAAGACTCTACTCAAGCATCATATCCTTTAAAAGGCCTTTTTTAGTCATTTCAAGCCTAAATTAGGTACCCCCACACACACACAAACTGTGCCCCTCTATATTAGAGTACTCTCCCTGTGTACATCTCTCCTTTAGGATTTATCAAACTATGTAACAATTGCTGGCTTACTCCTCTTCACTACTCCTCTTTGAGCAACCTGAGTTCAGCAATGAGTCCTAGTGCTCAAGCACATGGTAGATTCTCAATAAAATGTTCGCTGAATAAACTATTTTGAAATATAGTCATGAATAATTATTATGACTAAATATTTAAACTTTAAATAACTTTCAGTAACTGTGGTTCCAAGGTAATTAAAAACTTACCTACCTATAGGCTTAAGAGAACTTCGTAACAGAGTTCTCAAAACACCCAAACCCCACTCTATTTACCTAACTCCCAACAATCTAAAGTTTTCTGTTAAAACATTAGAAACAAAACCATTTGCTTGTTTTAAATGGATATATTTTCATTTCACTGACTACTAAACTAATAAAAGTACAATACTATTCTCTTTTTATTGTTCAAGTAAGGAGGGAGTATAATTGCCTGAACATTGTTTAGGTTGCCTAGATTTGTGTCCTAGCTCTTCTACTTACTAACTACCTAACTGTGGATAACAATGAACCTCCCAAAGCCTCTGTTTTTTCCATTGGCAACTGGAGATAAAATTGCTTACCTATCCCATAGCGTAGGTAATAGCAGATATGAATGTGAAAGTATTTCTATAAACCACGAAGTGCTAAAAAAATGTGAACTACTGTGTTAGTTTCTATGCCAACATCTGCCAAAGATTTTACAGGTGTATAATTAAAGTTTCAGGGCTAATTCAACCTCCCATACCCACCCTATACTTCTCTTCAATGACTGAAGATTCATAAATAAAATTAAGTTCCAGGACCACCAGAGCACAAGACTCATTCAACAGTCCTCAATATTCTTATATGATTAAAGTGTTTAATAAGTATATATCTAATTTAATAATAATCTGGTATGTTCTTAAAAAATTATTTTATAAATCTCAAGGTAAGTTGTTGGTACAGTCATTTAAATTTCAGCTCCATTTTCAAAACATGAATTGGAGGACAAAAATCAGCAGGGAATATTTAGAGAGCTTCTTTTATTTACTATTTAAACTGGGTACTGTCTGTTAACATACCAATTTAATCCACTATAGAATAGCTAACATGAAAGTTAAAAAGTCACCATTACAAAGCCAGGACAATTCCCCCCACAAATTTCTGGTTCATTTCTCTGATATGCTTACTTGTCTATCAAACAGAAGAGAAAATTTGCTGCTCTTTTCTAAATTAAAAAAGTGATAAAGCATTGTAATTGTACTCTCAGCAATATCTTTCCTTGTTATATAGGGACTTATGGATGATGGACTGCATTAGGAGAACTGTTTGTTTCTTCTGCAATATTTGTAAAAATAGGATTCCTTAAACTTCAACGGGCAAAACTCCTTTGGAAAAAAAAATGTAAGAAAAAGAAAAAACAAAATCTACTAAAAAAGTCAGCACTTCGGTACCTGATGGTGGTAACAAGGCCAAAATCCAAGACGAAGCCCTTTATTGCACATCGTGTTCCATCGTCTTGGGCAGCCCCATCTTGCGACCTCTCCAGATTGGCTGCTCCTGCTCTCTCTACTGCAGAGAGAACTTCAATTAGAGAAATTCTGAAGCTCATAAATCTAAACTGGATACTCCCCTCACTGGAGGCATGGGTGGCAAGAATCACTAAAAAGATTCAAGTTAGAGAGGTTTCAAATAAATCTAAATGGCTTGAAACCATTATATTGCAGGCAGCTGAGAGACTCATTATGCAAAGGTCTACTTTACTTTAAAAAAAAAAAATCTTAAGGGAAAAGAATGGCAGCAAATTATTAGATAATCTGAAAAAACAGGCTATATAATCATAAATCCCTAAAAAGTGAAATACTCTCCACTAAAATTATATAGAAAATTTATAATATATATGGTATAAAATACTATAGCTGACCATAATCCTAAGAAAAGCAACCAAGAAGAAAAACTAGAACACATTATTAACTTCTTTTTATGCCCTAAAATAAGACCTTCATGAAAAAAAATAATTTTTTTTAAACTTCAATTAAAAAACCACTGGTTAGGAAGGAGAAGTTCCCTGCTGACTTAAGCCTAGCTGCCCAAGCAAGGCTTCAGAAAGTGTCTTCACCTACAACCATGTGTAGGCAGAAGGAGCAGAGGCTATGGCGGTCTTCCTAGTGACACTTCCAAGTCACATATGCGGGGTACATTTCTGGGTAGACTGCCAACAAGTTACTGAAAGAAGAGAAACAAAAACCTGGCAAGCAAATAGGCCAATGTGTCCTCATGTGTTTTATGACAATACTGAAGATTAAATGTTAACTGAAGTTACTCTGTGGCTACTAACCCTAAATCATATCCTCCCCATTAGCATTACCTGATTTGTGAAAGACCAAATAGTTTTCTTCAAGCTGGTTTCCCAAAAAGACTTGTAATAATGTGTAACATATATAAAGCATTTCTTTGACCAAGCAAGTAAAAAAACCTACTCCAAAAAACTTCAGCAGTTAAGAATTTCCAATGAGAGAAATAAACAATTTGGAACATCTTTCCCACCATGAATTTTTATCAAAAAGTGTGCTGGTATGTGCTATGCAACAGAATGAGGTTAATACTGTTGAGACAACATTAACTGTATTCACTAAATAATTTAACAATGTTTTTCTCTTACCTGAGTGTGAAAATTTGAAATTGTTGTTGTTTCTATATCTTTCTTGCCCAGAATTTCCATTTTCACTGGAGTGTTGGGGAAATTAAAAGCAAAGTAGTCCAAGAAGTCTGGGAGATAAGCAGCCGCTCCATGCACTATTGCTAAAGCATAGTAAGCAGCATTTTTCTCATTTTCACTGAATGTCAAAGCAAGAAACTCTTCAGAAAATCTCTCCATCTCCATTGGAGACAAAAATGAGAGTTCATCCATGTAAGCGTGAAGGACAAGAGCACCACCATTGGATTGGTGTTCCTCATGAATAAAGTTGCTAAATTTAGTACCTGTTTTTAAGAAATTTCTACGAATAGAATGCTCCTGGTGAGTCATAAAAGGTGTTTGTACTCCCTGGGGTACCCGATATTCTTGCATGCCCAAATTTAATCGGCACAGCTGCTCATCTTTCAGATACCTGAAGGACTCCTTATTAACTCCTGAAGTGCTATTTATTTGTCCTTGGGCGAGGATTTCTTTACTGATGCGGGTCAGGCCAGCACAGACGGTTTGCACTTCCTTATTATACATTTTAAGGCGTCTTCCTCGCATATCTTCTCGGTGTTTCTTTTTCTTTTTCTTCTTTATTTTCTTCAAGACAAAATCGTCAGCTCTCTGGGTTTTACCATTTTCATCTGGCGTTTCTGGCCACAATAATTAAAAAGAAGTTAGTTGCTAAGCCTAGTTTCAAGACACAAGCTTCTTAAGGTATCTGATCTCAAAGTAAATAGCCTATTCTCAATTTCTCTGAATCTGTCATTACAACTTACATGCTCAGAAAATGAAGGAGACAAAAATCTTAAAATACAGTGATATTCTGGATTGAATACTAGAAAGTAGCTAACGCAAGGGTAATCATATAATTTAATACGACTTCCAATTCAAACTAAAGAAAATACTGAAGCAATTCCATTTGCTCCACATTGTATCTGTTCAGTAATCACTGTAAAATCTAAATCGAAACTTATATTTTGCTGTCAGTCTTCAAATTTGTATGGTACATATAGGTGAATCAAACAAAGACAAATTAAGCCATAAGACACCCTTTTTGCCCAACAAATTGGCAAGCTTATGAGGCTGGGGGAGGGGGTTATTCCCACATAGTGAGTATAAACTGCTACCATTTTCATGGAGGGTAATTTACCATTACATATCAACAGCCTTGAAAATATTTATAACCCTCAGACTCAGGAAATTCCACTTCCAAGTAAACATTACTCCCAGAAAATAACTGAAGACATACAAAAATGGCAGCATTATGTTAAACAACAGAAACATGTAATGGTCTGCTAAACAGTCTAACAGAGGATCAATTAAACTCTGGTACTTATAGGCTGTAAAATACTATCCAGTCATTATAAAGGAGCTCTGGTAGCATAGTGCCTAAGGCACTTGACTGCTAACCAGAAGGGGTGGTAGTTCAAACCCACCAGCCACTCCTTGGAAGGAAGATGGGGCAATCTACTTCCGTAATGATACTGCCTCAGAAACCCAAGGAGGGGTCGTTATGAGTCAGGTCTGACTTGATGACACATAACAACAACAACAACAGTCATTATAAACTAAAGAACTGACATACAAATTACAAAGTTTAAAATGATTACCATGTCACTATTCCATAAAGCTTTCTTTGACAACTCTCCCCCACTCAATTTGAATAGCTGCTCCAGCATGCTACATGATCCTATTGCACTTCCCCTACCAAAGCACTTAACCACACTCAGTATTACTATATATTTAATTTCCCATCTCTCCTCTAAACCATAAGCAATCTAAGGCCAGAGACTATGTATCTTTGTACTCACCTTTCCAGAGCACAAACTTACAGGCTGTAAAATACTACTGGTGTAGTGCCTAAGGCATCTGACTGCTAATACATTTATAGTCTAATCCTATTTTTATAATATTAAACTTTTATTCACTCAAACATTTACTGAGCACCTACTATGTGCCAGTTACTCTTCTAGGCACTGGAGATATGGTGTTGAATAAGACACACGTGATCCCTATTCTCTTGGAGCTTACAATCCAATTGGACAAGAAAAAGAAAGTTATCAAGTAGTAATAAGCAATGAGCTGGCTACGCTAGATGTTGGGGAAGCTCTCCTTTGGAGGTGGCCAGTTAGGCTGAGTGCTAAATAGTCCAATGAGCCAGGCATGTGAAGATCTAGGGGAAAATACTCCAAGAAGGAACAGCTAACAAAAGACCTTAAGAGAAGGAGAAGTCTGGCTGATGTGCATCTACTACATTTTAGACATATCCAAAACCAAACCAAACCAAACTCACTGCCATTGAGTCGATTCTGACTCACAGTGACCTCCTTTGGGTTTCCGAGGCTGTAAATCTTTACGGAAACAGATTGCCCAGTCTTCCTTCCACGGAGTAGTTGGTAGGTTTGAACCACCAACCTTCTGGTTAGCAGTCAGATGCCTTAGGCACCACACTACCAGAGCTCCTTTTTTCAGACTTATATAACACAGAAAAAGAACTGCAAATATGTAAGTATTAATGGTGGTTATCTATGGGCAGTAGGATTATAAATGTCTATAGCTTTCTTCGGGAGGTCTGGTAGCATAGTGCCTAAGGCACTTGACTGCTAACCAGAAGGCTGGCAGTTCAAACCCACGAGCCACTCCTCGGAAGGAAGGTTGGGCGATCTACTTCCGTAGTGATACCACCTCGGCAACCCAAGGAGGAGCCGCTATGAGTAGGGTCCAACTCGATGGCACATAACAACAACAACATAGCTTTCTTTGTTTTGCTTATTTGTATTTCTAACTTTCTAAAATAAACATGTATTACTGTTATAATTTTAAAAATTATTTTTCATTTTTAAAGCATTACCATGGACAAACTCAATACAGATACATAAAAAGCCAAACTCACTGCTAACGAGTCGATTCTGACTCATAGCATCTCGCATTGGGTTTCCAAGGCTGTAAATCCTTATGGGGAACTCTGGTGGTGTAGTGCCTAAGGCATCTGACTGCTAACCAGAAGGCTGGCGGTTCAAACGCACCAGCCACTACTTGGAAGGAAGGTTGGGCAACCCACTTCCGTAGTGATACTGCCTCGGAAACCCAAGGAGGGGTTGCTATGAGTAGGATCCAACTCAGTGGCTTGGTTATTTTTTATTTTTTTATTTTTTTTGGTAAATCCTTACGGAAGCAGAATGCTTCATCCTTGTTCCATAGAGCAGCTGGTGGGTTCAAACCACCAACTTTTCAGTTAATAGCCAAGTGCATTAATCACTACACCACCAGAGTTCCTTCAATATAGAATTTGTTGTTGTTATGTGCCGTTGAGTCAGACCTGACCCATAGTGACCCCTCCTTGGGTTTCTAGGGCAGTATCACTACGGAAGTAGATTGCCCCATCTTCCTTCCGGGGAGTGGCTGGTGGGTTTGAACCGCCAGCCTTCTGGTTAGCAGTCAAGTGCCTTAGCCACTACGCTACCAGAGCTCCCTCAATATAGAATAGCATCTTTAATTTACTAGTTGGAAAGTATACCTAGCAAAAAATCATCAAGATTAAAAATCAGGTACAGTGCTGACCAACCTTAAATCCTGATCTGCTATTTACTGTATAGACTTTATCCACCCAAGAATAGTATTTCTGACATGATTCAAGTAATTCAGTGTTAAGACAGACTCTAATTAATCTTATTATTACATCTAGAAAGAACCAAGTTCAATAAATTTTACAGTAAAGAACTTACTTGGTATAATATGTAAATATATATGATAGTTGTAGTAACTCTAGACAAAATCATTCCAAATCATCAAATATTAAAAATGAAGCCTGTCTAAAGAAAATATTTAAAAGTGCAAGTCAAATACTTTAAAGTGTGTAGATACTGAATGACTTTCATTCTTTTAATATTTGCTTTTAAGAAAAAGAAAACCTTGCATTTGCAAATATCACTTGTAATCAAACTGAGACTATACACCAAAATATACATGTAATCAGTTTACTTTAAGTTAGTAAGAGAAAAAGCAGTCAATCCTTTAGTCTATATACAACTAAATCTTTTGAGAATTAAACACTTAGTAAGTCATTAATACTTTTTACTAAGTAAAATTAATCTAAATACATTTCCCTATATATCAAATCAATAATTTAGGCAATTCTCCCAAGCAACTAAATGCTAATGCCATTAAATATAAAGGCTAGACCAATTTTTAAATAGTCACCTAATTACCCTCTGCTGTATGTTTAGCATATTGCATAGGTAAAAAAAAAAAAAAAAAAAAGAAAGAAAAAGAAACAGAAGAAAAAAAACTCTGAATAGATCCTGTTATTTTAAGTTTTCAGAAGAGGTATTTGGTATGCAAAAGATGAATTGTGACCTAGATCTGCTACTGAAATTAACAGCAAGAGTTAGCTGCCTTAATTGTAACACATTTGCTGTATTACTATCAGTTCACCACTGTATTTCTAACACGGCTAAGTCTCTGTGGGTTCTATTACAAAACTCATTTATATGAGAACAATTGAATTAGTCCAACATGCCCATCTCAAAAAAAAAACCCACCACCATACCAGGAAATGAAAAGGACCTTAAATTAACTATAATCTCACAAATCAACATAATAAAAGTTTAAAATATGAAATAAAACTTTAATCTATCACCTTGTTAATCCTAATTTTTAAATTTTGACTCTTATCTAAGGCTTAGATTTGGAAAGCTCACCTTTGTGAAATTTAAGATTCCCTCAAATTCATATGAGTGAATAAATTTCCATGAAGAAACAAAATGTTTTCTTCACTTATTATGTTGGGCAACCTACTTCCACAGTGATACCACCTCGGAAACCCAAGGAGGGGTAGCTATGAGTCGCATCTGACTGACAGCAGTTAAGTTTGGTTTTTTTTTTGGGGGGGGTTATTATGGCGGCAGCTAATTGAGAATGCCTTACTTTATACAAGTTTTTAAACTCAGCCATTGTTGCTTTATGAGAATGATACACTCCCTTGTACTGAACAAAAAATTTTATTTAAAAGTCAATATCTAAAATCTTCACTCTCTTTCTATTTCTGGTGTAGTATTTTAAGAGAACGTGTTCAGGCAGTCACATTTGGAATATTTCCCTACAGTGCAAAAGTTAATTTATTGACATCAATTCTTTACAGGAAAAGAGCCAAGCTACACTGTATCTGTGATGAAGGACCATATCTAGAGAAAGCTTTCACATATCAAACTATAAGATAAAAACATAACTTTCTACATTAAAATCTTAAATTGTTAACACCATTCTTATACCTGAATTATAGAACTGAAAGTAATTAATATCCTCAACTTTTAAAACTCATAGTGGATAAGGAAAAGCAAAATAATTACAAGTCTTTACATTTTATTAATCACACTGAAGGACTAAAGTTATTTTTCAAAAATAAATTATTTTTGGTCTTCGTTGTTTCAGTTCTACATAAAAATCTGACTAAATAGGGAAAAAACTGCTCCTTTTGAAGGCCTACTTTTGGTGTCATTTATAACACTGCTTTACTACCTTTTCCCTTTACATTAAGGTATTTAAGAGTGGCTGGCTGAAAAAAAAAAAAAAAAATGTGGCTGGCTGGAATTGATTCCCTGTTCTACTACATCCTAGCAACATAACCTTGTACAAGTTAATGTCTCTGTAC